CCCCCCCCCCCCCACAGGGGTCAATGTACGGGGTGCTAAACATGGGACAGCCCTTCAGAGGCTGTCAGAGGAGGCTCACAGCAGAACGTCTCTGCCCTTGCAGAGCGTGGACTCAGACCTGTCGGACGGGCCCATCACAGTGCAGGAGTTCCTGGAGGTGAAGAACGCTCTGTCAGCCTCAGAGGCCAAGATTAAGCAGCTGATGAAGGTGAACAGCAGCCTGAGCGAGGAGCTGCGGCTCATGCAGAAAAAGGTATCGGCAGGGAGCCAGCACCGGGCCACGCAGACCAACGGCGGCAGGGACACGTAGCCGCAGGGCGGGCCGCACACCGTGGCGGGCGGGGAGGCTCAGCCCTGGGCTTTGGGACACGGTGTGTGTACTGGGGATAGCTTTAGCCCCGTCATCCCCTGTACCTGGGTTTGTCTGAGATATAGACGTCATGGCTAGTAGGCAGATGAGCCTATAAAGAGTATGTCTGTACCTAGCAAAAACGAAATGCTTTCAGCTTAATCAGGATGCAGAACACACACAGGGGAGCCTTCCCCTCGGTGCCACCGCATGGTTCACACGCAGTCTAGTTCACACCTTTACCATCTTCATTCTTCTAATGGGATGTTCAGTGTGGCAGTAATGTGATGACAAGCTGGCCGTCACGTGCCCTAATCTGGCCGAATTGCGTAGGTTTTTTTTTTTTTTGTGTGTGTTATTTAAAATTGCTAAAGGGTGTTGCACTAAAATTTGCGTATTTAGGTCCAAGTGTTTTTAGACTACAGTGTCACATGGCACACTTGATGTCCAAACACTTAATTTTATTTATTTTTTTGTTTGTTTGCGTCATGTTTTTTTTCCCCAGGCTGAGGTCTTGGCTTAAATATGGAAGGTTAATAATGGGTTACATTCTGCATATAGACTGGAGAGTGTGAAAGTGTAGTGGGCTGCAGCAGAGGCCATGTTCATGAGAGCCTTGTTCATTACCGAAATGTTTTGCAGACATGAATTCCTTTTTTCTTTCTTTTTTTTTTAATGCTGCACAGATGACAGGACTGCATTGTTTTCAATGATGATTGTGTAATGGATGGCTTAGGAATTCCCCACAAGCAGGTGTTGTTCGTGTCTAGCATCAAAGCAGGAAGAGAGGCCTGTATTCATCTCGTATGGTGAGGTCAGACAAGCAGTGAAAGCAGGGCACGTACCGGAGCACCATGGGACTGTCCGCAGACTCGTAATGCATGCGAGAGTTGCCTGTTCAAGCAATAGACCAGACTATGGACTGGGATGAGATGGAGGATGTTGTTCCCAGTCAAAAGCAGAACGGGAACTGAAACTGCTGGCAACAGTAGGCTTTGAAGGATTTTTTTAAGGTTTATTTTTACTTTGTGTGTTAATTTTGATAATGGATTATCCATGTTATTTCTTTGCAGAGTTTGAATTGTCTTAATCTTTTCTGTAGTAACTAAGTATTTATCAGTGAAAAGGGTTTAAAAACACAGACTGATCATGCTGACCCTCAGATTTAGGTCTGTGAGAAGGGTGGGGGGGGACAGGGGCAGTCTACGGTATAGACCACACCCACCACTCCTCTGCTCTCCATGGGGGTATAACATGCTGTGGCCCCATCCCAGCTTACCTGTCCAAAGATGACCCTCGAACAGGTCTGGGCCACACCCTGGCTGGCTGTGCCTCTCCGGTTGGAATAGTGCTGCGAGTCTGTCCCTGTCTGACATGTGGGCCCCTCAGCCCGGACTCCTGAGAGCTTGCAAACGCTGCTCGCAGGCGCCCCCTGCTGCAGTGTCTTTCTCTGGTGCTGCTCCTGGAGTAGCAGGCTTGCTTGCTGCTCTCTGCTTGCTTTGATCCACGATGTTTGGTTTTTGTTTTCATGCTCAGCACAGTCAGAACTGGATGGGGGGTACATGCGACGTTAGCTTTCTGCATGGGGGCTGTATGTCACTCAGTGTAGTTGAATGTTTCGGGGGTGTGGTGGTGCTACACAGACATATTCTAAGAATAGTTTACCCGCCACCATTCCCCCCCCTTTTGTCTACTTCTAAGAGCTGGGGGGGGGAGGGCCGCTCACTGCGAAAGCGCCTCTTAGCCACGTCTTGCCAAACGTCTCTTCCAGCTTCAGTCACTGCAAAGCGAGAACACGTCTCTAAGGCGGCAGGTCACAGCCAATACGTATCAGGCCCCCCCCGGTGGTTCTGAGCAGCCCGACCCCGCCGGCCCCGCAGGCCCGAAACGCTGCCCAACCGTGCGCGGCAGCCGGCCCATGTCTATGTATGAGACCGGCTCGGGTCTGAAGCCCTATCTCCCCAAGGGAGAAGCCCCCTACCCAGAAGAGAGTGTTTCCACTCCGCAGCCCCTCCCACCTCATGTAAGTAAGACAAGCCAGAAGCCTTCTCTTCTCTTACTATGGTGTTGCTCCTCTGTCTTGCTTTCTTCCTTGTCTGCAGCGCTCTCTCTCTCTCTCTCTCTCTCTCCCTCTCTTTCCGTTGCCCTTGAAGCTCTTGTTGGTTACTAAACGCTGAGCGTTGTGGCCCGGCTGTATAGTGCCTGGAGACGCAGCCAGTGCTCGGAGGGATGCGTCACATGGATAGTCCCATCCCATAAGCCCTCTGGAGCCGGATGGGGGGGGTCCTTTTCCCATCCCAAAAACCCTATACACCTCCACTTTCGCCATAACCACCTCTGTCAGTCTCCCTGTTTTTGTGTTTTTTTTTTTTGTTTTTTTTTTGTTTTTCTTTCTTTGAGTGGGCTTCGTTTAATTTGCAATCATAAATATTGAAATGATAGGAGTCTGATCCTAATGTAACTGCGTGTGACCATCTGAGGGATTCTGAAGGTTTGTGCAGTTTGTAATTAGTATTAAATGCCTTTACAAGCATTTCCACTGCTTTTGTGCTTTATTTTTTCCCCATTAAAATGCATGACATTATGTACATTTTCATTTTTCAGATGTTTTTCACTCCCCCAATGCATTTAGCCTCTGTGTAGCGTAATTATTCTCTGATTGCACTATAGGTAGAATGAGGCTTTTGAGGCTTTCTCCAGAACATCCCACTTGTTGGTTACTTTATCACTCCTCATTGGCTTACAGTAGGTGGTGATTGCGAGCACACAGTAATGCCACCTGCAGTGGGCTTGAAAGCCTCATTTCTCCTATCTCCTTATTCATATACATTTAATGTGCTTTCCTGCAGTGTATTTTTGTTTTTTTTCCTGTTTGTGTTATTTCTGTGTATACCATGTTATTTAGGTTGTACATGGTGTTCCCTGCTATCCGGGGATCCTGATTTAATGCTTAGGGGGTGTCATATATGGTGTAGTTCCCCTTCCTGGGTTACCATTTTTCATGCATTTTGGTTTGAACCACTTTCCAGATCGGGAGGGGTGCTTTTGTCACCTCCTCATCCCTCCCCTCGTTTCCCTCCACCCTCTCCTGGTCACGGGACGAGACCACACAAAGGGTTAAGTACCTCCTCAACTGGCCTCTTCCTCACAGGAAGCTGCTCCTTTTCTTCATCATTCCTCCCTCCCTGTTCTTGTTTTCCATCTGCTGCATGAGCATCTCTCCATCACTCCCTCTCACCCCATCACGCACACCCCTGCATCATGGCACGGGCTGGGGCTTCCTGACTTACCTCGCAAAGAGAAGGTCTAACACTCATTGTGCTGTTAAGTACCCCAAGTGTAATGTCTCTGGTGAAGCTGTCCTTGAAATGGGCGTTTGGTAACCAAAAAACAAAAATGCAGTCCAGTTTGTTTCTGAAATGTGATTTTGTACTTGTTTCAATGGGAGCAAATTAAATGAGTTTAGAGACTTTTATTTTGAAGTTTGTTTGTTATACATAAGTGTTGGACAAAAATTGCAAAGGACTGTACGTTATGTACAACTCACACTTTTTTGCCCACTGTCTAATACACGCTGACATTTTAGCTGCCTTTACAGTCTTTAAAGACACTGATGGTTCTCCATGCAGAGTGATTTTTTTTTTTATTGTTTTTTTGTACTCATCTGCATGTCTGTCACAAGGTTCTGAGCCTTTGGAACACGTTTCCCAAGCTGTGATTCTGATTTTGCATTTAATTTTGAGGTAACAAGATTTTCATAATAACCCTTTTGTTTACATATTTTTTTTTTGCATGGAAATGTATGAATTTTATATATTCCACATATATTGTTTTTTTTTTTCTCCTTCATTTTGGTTTGTTTTCACTATGTGAATGGTGTAAACACTTTGGCCGGGGGTCACCAGGCAGACTCTCGTCAGCATGCTGGGTTCGCTGGCTGTGCCACGCTGCTGGCTGTGCCACGCTGCTGGCTGTGAGCTGGGATGTGTGGAGTATGTTGACGAAGCACCCTAGAGCAGTTTGCTCGTGGGGTTGTCCGGGACCCGGCACGCGGCCCCACCTGCGTTTTAGCGCACGCAGCGACTGCTAGGCCTGCAGATGAGAAGAGGAGTGTGTGGGCGTTTGAGCCTGGTGGATGGGTATGTATGTGTGGCAAGGACTCTCCCTGTCTCTGTCCCTTCAGGCAGGAGCCTTAGCGCTGGCTGCCATGGGTTAGCGCTCGGCACAAAGCAGCGGAGTGCTGTTTAGTCCTCGGATTGCTATTGAATTTCAGCAAAGCTGCTTCAAAACTTTGACTCAGTAGTGACAATCAAAACTTAACGTCTGTTATTGAACCGATGGACATAAATCGAATGAACTACGAATCTCAGACCATTTCTTAATTAGTGCTGAATAAAATGGGTCAGTGTTTTGGAGTTTACTTCCAGGTGTTGCTTCGCTTGGTGTATGTTTGTAAGAGCTGAACAGGGCTTTGGATGGGAGCTGAGAGTTTTTGTCCAACTGGATGCATCGCAGTGACGTGATCCAGCAGTATGTGTGGATTTCAGGAAAATGTATCGTCTGTCTCGTGTCTGCTTTATGCAATATGGAAATCGGGGGTCCTTATTATAGTTTCAGTTGCATTAAAAAAACAGGCATAATTTGCTAGGATTGAAAACCAATTTGACAAACGGCACTTGGTATTTCAGGAGTGTTAAGTGGCAAACGCTTTTCAAGGAAAAACAAAAATAAACCCTTTGATCCTGGATAACTTTAACTAACCCTGGCATTTAAAATCATAACTGCTTTTCCATAATGACATCAAGTTCATGTTTGTCTGTTGCTATTTTTGTTTGCTTGTTTCATGCAAAGTTTTTGATGCATTTATCTCTTATGTTCTGTTTTTGTCACCCACATCAAATTCTTTTTGCCATGTTTAATCTTGATTTGTTTAAATATCAAAAGACGACATCCAAAATAAGTTCTGGAATGGGAAATGCTCTCTAAGGTGGACCTGCAGACTCCTTTTGCTACAGTCTGTACCTATTGGTTTTTCACACCGCTCTCTTAAGGATCCACCTGTGTTAGAACACAGCACTTTGCATGGAAACAGCTAAGCGAGGCTATTGCCGTGGGCTGCCGTCAGCTGCACACGCACTCTGGGAACGTGTCACTGCCTGTTACCCCGTCTTCTCATGTGCTCTTAGACCTCCGAGCTGGAGAAGCAGAGCAGCATGCCGGACAGTGACTATGACAACACGGCCAACAATGTGGAGCCAGAAGATTCGGGGTAGGCATCTCACCGTGGCTGTGACTCTGATGCAGCGTTCTTCTGTCCTTGAGCTGCCCTCTTCTTGCCTTGCCTCGTCATTCTGTCATTTATGGAATCTAATTCATTTCTGTGGGTTTTGGATATAATCCCTGCCCATGCAGTTCATTTGTTGGTTTTGTACAAACAGCACATGAGTGAATTGGTCTACCGGAATTGAAATACAAGGAAGTTGTAGATATCGGGGAACCCTCTCTGCTTCGGTTTGCCGGTTGTGATGAGTTTGTGGACCCCGGATCCCCACAGGCTCATTCGGAGAGGCAAACTAAGGAGCGCCGAGCCGGACGACGAGCAGGTGGAGCCGGACCCCACCCTGCCCAGCACCGAAGACGTCATCCGCAAGACGGAGCAGATCACAAAGAACATCCAGGAGCTGCTGCGGGCCGCCCAGGAGAACAAGCACGAGAGGTGAAGGGGGGAGAGGATGAGTTGGTGCTGTGCGCCCCTCTACACACTGTCCCAGTGACTGCAGTGCCCAGGCCCACATAAGTTCCATCTATGCCCCTCTTCCATTCCTGCTTAGTTCTTCCTCTTTTCTCATGTGTTCTTTGCTTTTGACTTATCCATGCTGTAACTATATTGCTTCCTTTTCTTGGCATACTTTTTTTTTTTTTTTTCCTGTTTGACTCGAGTACATACCCTGTCCCTCTTCCTTGTCCCGTCTCCCTACCACCAACCCATCCTTGTGATGTGGCTGTCTGAGGTGACGTTTATCTGGTTCCTGTCCTCCACGACCCCGAGCAGACCGTGTGAGCGTGAGAGCGAGGGCCCCCGTCGTCTCAGGCACAGCCTGGGCTGCTTCGGCACCCTGGTGCCCTGGGTCGAGAAGGACCCCCCCCTGGCACCCCTGGGCCCCCAGCGGCCTGATCCGGCCTCCTGGTACTCTGGCCTCTGCCCCTGCCTCCCAGGCACAGTGTCTCCCTCCCACTCTTTACACTCGGCCCCTCGTGTGACATTCCATTCCATGGTTTAAGTGTATTTCCTGCATCTAAATAATGTTTACTTATCGAGTGATAATTGCAGGCAGTGTAGTGGGCATGAACTTATAACCCAAGTTTTGCCAGTTTAAGTCCCAGGAGGTGCCCTGCTGTTAATCTGGTCCATTTATCCAGTACTACTCCAGTATAATATCCAGCTGTATAACTGGGTGAACATGGAGTCTCACTGGAGGAAAGCATCAGCTTAAGCAGCTGAAAGTGACTGTAAAAAGATGCATATTAACATAAGCAGGTCCCTTCCACTGTCCTCCCTGCATGACTACTGGCTTCATCTAATGCCCTGACCCATCTCCCTCTTCAATTAATCCTTCATCAAGTGCCCTAATTTACGTTCATTTTATGTTCTTTTTTTAATGCAAACCTATCAGTTCAAAGCATCCCACCTGTGTATCACAAAGCAAAGCCAAGGGGGTGTGACCTCTCAGGTACTTCCTGTCAGCTGCTCAGTATGTCAGTGTGTGTAGTATAGATTTGAGAAGCCCTCTCCTTCCTCCACGGTATTCTTACTCCATTCCTGCATTATACCTGCACTCAGTTCTAACCGTTTTGTTGTTTGGGTAGGAAATGTGCACTTGGTTTGTTGCCGCAGGTTTTGAGTTTGCCCACTAACCTCGGAGCGGACGTCTGTGCCCGGTGCTCTCTCGTAACCCCGCTGCTCTCCACTGTCCTCCCTGCAGCTTCATACCGTGCTCAGAAAGAATACATGTGGCTGTGACGGAAATGGCTGCCCTCTTCCCCAAGGTAGGCGGGTCACAGTGGACACCCATCCTGTCTCTGTCTAGAAACGCCTTCAGCACATCCTCCGGGGGCAATGCTGTTACCTCGCCTCCTGGCTTGGTGGTTTGAGTCCCACCTGCAGTTTGCGTGTCTGGGGGGGGGGCGGCGCATGTTCTCCCTGTTCTGGGGGTTTCCACTGAGTACTCTGCCTTCCTCCCATGGACTGCCACCGCTAAATTATCCATGGTGTGACTGTGCTGTATAATGGGCTGACTTCCCATGCAGGGGGTACTCTTTGCTGCCTGGATGTACAGTCAGATGGAATAGTGCCCCTCTGACAAAAAAAAAAACTGTCAAATTGCAATCATGCATGGCCTTTGGTAAAACATTAGTTAGCAGTAAGGCATCATGTTGGATGCATTTGTGCTTTAATTTTTTTTTCTATTCCAGTTCAGCCACAAAGGGGTTAGTGTAAGGAATGCAGTGTTAAATTGTTGTAGAAAAGGTTTAGTCAGCTAAATTGAGCAGTCTCCAGCTTTGCTCATTCAGGTGTCCCCAGTGACAGTGTATTTATTCTGTCCCCCCTGCCCACACCCCCACAGAGGCCGCGCTCGGAGACGGTGCGGGGCTCCCTGCGCCTGCTCACCTCCAGCGCCTTCCGGCTGCAGTGCGAGTGCAAGGCAGCAGCGGTGCCAGAGGGGGGGACGATGCCCGACACACAGCTGGTCACCCAGCAGGTCATCCAGTGCGCCTACGACATCGCTAAGGCTGCCAAGCAGCTGGTCACCATCACCACCAAAGAGAACAGCATCTAAGCACTGCCTGTCAGCCTTCCCTTTACTATTTAACAGTTGGAGCCATTAACTTTGTTTTTTTTTCTCCCTATCAGTATTATTAATATTTGCATGTTTTTTTTTTTTTTTTTAATTTAAAGAACAAAGATCAAGGTTCCCAGCTACTATAAACAAACACCAGATCCTGTCGTATGCTGGTTTGAAGTGGTAGATGGAGTTCGGTGTTGTCAGGAATTGTAGAGATGCAGTGTTACTTTTGTTTTGATACAATGCATTACAGGTTGCGACAGCAAACCACCACTGTGGATTACATATTCAGTAGCATTTCTTTACAAAGACCGGAATAGCAGCTACCGTTTCCCCCCCCCCCGCTCTCCCTGTCTGGTTGTCCACTGGTACATGTGGGTTTAATGTGGTTTCTTTCAGTTTACCTAGAGTCAGACTCATTTTATCAGCTCAAACAGCACAAGGGTGCCACAGGAGAGAATGATCAGAACTTAAGGAAACCATAGCCCAGCAATTTACATACATTGGCTCAAATACCTCACCTGTTGCGTGTAAATGATCACCTGCTTACACAAAAACATTGAAAAGCAGACCTCATCCTGAAAGGTCTGTGTCCATTTTGTTCAGATCAGTCCAACCGATAGATGAGGTGCTCAGTAAAACTGGGAGATTTTAACTGAACATTCTGAGCCTCAGACTGATTCTACTTTTTAAATGTCAGCGCTCACTCTTGCTTCTCTCATTCCAAAATACTTTGCTTGTGCAGCAGGATGTTAGTCTTTTAACAGAATATCCACCAGCAATGGGATGGACTTGCACACGGTTCAGCCTTCTGCCTTTACAGACAGAGGAGCACTTGACGTGGCGTTTGTTTGTACGTTAATCCTCCGTGCCGTATGTTGTGTGTGTCGTCCCTCAAGCTGCTGGGTTTAACTTGTGCATCTAAAGCCGTGCGATTGTAGCGTTTCTCTACCAGAGAAGTCCATCTTTCTGTGTCTCACACCTTGGTGTTATACTTGAAACCCACGATCCAGGAAGTGTCTGCCTGCCCCCTCCCCCCCCCCCTTGGGGGTGGGTCCTGCACACAGGTGTGTTAGTCGTGTAGTGCTCACGGCTGTGGTGGGAAACTTGCCTTTTATTTTTTAATAAACTATTTATAACCTTAACCTCAGACATTTTGTTTTTGACCTTTTACTGTACAAATGTGTTGTAAAATTAGCTTTCCTGTACTATATTTGTCTGAAGTATACTGTAAACCAGGCTTCAAATAAAACATCTATGAGACAATTTTTTGTTCTTGTGGAGTCAATTGGCTACTTTCACAGATATGTATCAAATTTTATTTAATTTACTAAAACTACATTTTGCAGCTAAAAAAAAAAAAGCTAGATACAGAATAATTCAGGGTTCAGTTTGCTTAAAAAAAAAAAAAAAAAAAAACTGTTTCTGAACCAAAAGAAATCTACGACCTCATCTCTTTGCTCCATGGCGTCCTCAGGTCCAGGCGGATCTGGGCCGGCTGTGAATCTGAAGGAAGGAGATAATCAGAGTGACTCTGTACTTGTAGTTTCCGAATAAAGGATAGCAAAGCATGTCGAGAGGACACCAAGCACAGTGACTCTGCTGCAAAGTCGCTGCCTGCTGTGCAGTTTTCGGTATACATTTGCTTATCTTGGATAACGGCTACTTCTTACAGCACAGTGGGCATCACACCTTTTAGCTACCTGGCACGATGGCAGCAGAGCTTGCACTGTGTCTTCATTACTTACAAGTGCTTAAATCCAAAGGCACTATTTAGAGCTGTTACATATTAATACAGGACTAACAAATCCCAGCTTGCAATTTTTGTCCATGCCAAAAAAAAAAAGACTGGGGTGGAACTTTTACAGTACCTCACTTCTAGCCAATCGGAAGGGGCAAGAGACTAAAATTACATACCTCCACAAGAACCATAGCAGGGAGTTACTGTTTGATGTTCATTTTAGTATTTTTCTGCCTGAACATGACCCAAGACTGCAGGTTAACTTACAACAGCAGACAGATCTGTGAGCACAGCCTGAGAGCAGAGATGGAGGTTTGTGGTCCTGAGCAAACCACGCGTACCTTCTCCTGAAAGCCTCGCTGGGACGTCCTGTCCAGTTCCAGCTGAAGCTCCTCATTGTTCCACCTCTGAGCCGCCACCTCCTTCTCCTCCTCCTGCTCCTCCCTTTGCTGAACTTCCCTCAACTCCTTATGCCGCTGCGTCACCTACAGGACAGACACAGTCCAACCCATCCTCTCAGTCCTGTATGTGTAACATGCCGAGCAGAAGTTAAGCTGAACCCAACACTATTCAAAACTGTCCAAAGCCGAGATGTCAATCACGATGCAATAAAAGACTGATATGAACTGATATTGTATCATACCAAAATGTCACACGTTAAAACAAAATGTACTCAAAAAAGTGATCAAAGGGATGGAGAGGACTTTCTATTGACTAAATACTTTGACGTCATAAAACTACAAATTTTATGTAAAGGCACACTGACTACCATCGATACAGTGGGTCATTACATTCATACTGAGGTGAATCAGTTAGTTTGTTGCATCACCAATGAATCCCACAGTCCCACTAAACCAGATAGCTACACTTTTGCTTCTCGGATCCCATTTGTCAAATATTTAAAATCATAAAACCCAAAAACATTTAAAGCGACTCTGCAGAGCTCAACAGGAACTCAAATCAAAACACACTCAAACACACTGGACCAGGGGTGGGCAATCTTATCCGCAAAGGGTGTATGTGGGTTTTCGCTGCAGCTCCCTAATTAGATTACTAATTAGAGGACTCACACCTGGGTTTGAGCAGCTGACCTACAAGTTACCCCAAAAACCTACATACACACCGGCCCTTTGCGGATAAGATTGCCCACCCCTGGTCTGGGCAATAGTGTGAAGAAACAGCACCCCCAAGTGGTGGTGCCCAGTACCTGAGTGTCAATCTCCCTCATGCGTGCTGTCCTCTGCTCCTTCTCCTGCTCCCGTTCCTGGCATCTTGCCTCCTTCTCTTTCTCCAGCTGCTCGATCAGCTCCTCACGCCTCCGCAGGGACTCCTCCTGAGCCCACCTGTTCTCCAACATTTTCTGGTCCAGCTGCTGACGTCGCCCAGTCAGCACCTGCCATGAGTAGAAAGCCCCCAACCCAGCGAGTTCCCCAGTTAGCAGCAGGTCATTGATCTGCCTTGACCTGGCACTGGTGACCATTATCTGGGGCGCATGCAGCTTTTCCCAGTTTTAGTGTCCTTCAGAAACCGTGCACACACATTAACCCCTGAGAAGCAGGCCCTGTGGGGACACCCATACAGGACAAGTCGTTATGGCTTCACAACAAATTAAGCCTACATTAACTGATCTTTTTACTAAGGTGGAACAGGACACACATATCAGGTTTAGGAGGACTTCCCCACAAAGACAAACACACCCACACCATCCTCACCTCCTGCATGAGCCGCTCCCTGGCCCTCCGTTCCTTCTCCCACTCCGCCTCACGCATTGCCCACACTCTCTGGGCCTCCTCTCTATAAACATCATCATCATCATCATCATCGCAGTGGATGCAGCGGTCTAGGTGACCCCCACTCCCTGTCAACCCCACAAACCTGTGGAGGATATCAAACTCCGCTTCCCTCTCCTGCTCCAGCTGGAGCTGCTCCTCTAGCACCTCCTGCATCCAGGCAGCGTCAGCCACGGCCCGCTCTCGCCGCGCGCTGGCCAGCCTCCTGTCCTCCTCCTCACCCTCCAGCAGAGCCGCCAGGATGCGCCGGTCATCCTCCTACCTCAGAAATCGTGATGGTCATGACAGGAGCGGTGATGGTGTGTGTCACATGATTGGTCACCTGACAGCATGGACTCACCAACTCTTCCTGCACTTGCTGGGCTCGTCTCTTCAGCTGAGCTCGGTACTGTCTGCTCAGGAAGCACCTGGCAAGATCATAATTTCGAAATTAACGCCCCATCTGACAGATACAACAACATAACCGCTCACTTCCCACACAGCTCCTGCACATAGCATTAAAATCCTCTGTACCTCAGCTCATATTTCCTTCTGCTCTCCTCCTGTTTCTTCCGCTCTTCCTCTAGCCTCTCCACCTCCCAGCGCTGAGAGAGCAAAGCCTCCTGTTCCTTCTTCAGCCGGTTAGCCTGGGGGACAGTGTTATTAGTCATCTGCCTTGTACACAACAGCAGCGATAGGAGGGATGAGGCTGCCCAGCTGATGGTTGGAGGGACTTCTGTGCACTGCCAATCACTGACTGACCAAAGCTATTTCTTACTGGTTACTTTATCGTCTTCAATTGTTATAGTGTTAAGCCTGTTAGTAGTCCCTCCTCTGTGGATGTAGAACCCAAACAAATGGCTCACTTCATCCTCCCGCAGCTTCAGCTCCTTCATTTGCTGCCGGAGTTCCTCAGCTCGCTGTCTGGCCTGTGCCTTCCTCCCCTCTTCATCCTCCCTCATCCTCTCTAGCGCCTCCTGCTGATTCCGCTCACGCTCGTTCTCAAAGCGCCGCTCCTCTTCCCGTGATGCATCTTCCCGCTGCGGGTTTACAAGAAAGGGGTCAGGAAGAACTGTCACAAAGTCCAGTGCCATCACCAGATCTTTCTGGAAGACAGTCTCACTTGTGTGTCTTCTCCTCGGACATACTCTTAAAACATATTAATAACATTTGTTGCAGGGGCACATTAATTAATGACATTTATTTGGTAAATGCTTTTGTCCAAAGCAGGAAACAATTGAGAAAACAGCATCAGCCAGTCACTGGAGCTACTGGGGTGAAGAGAGTTGCTCAAACGCCCCAACAGTGACATCACACTGCCAGCGATGGGGTTTGAAGCGGCGACCTCCCAGTCACAGCCATAGAGCTGTATCCCACAGAGCTACACACCACCACGTGAACTCAAGGCATGAAAAAATGGTTCATACCTTCTTTTTCTCAGACTGCTGTACTTTCCATTGGCTCACAACGTGATCTTGGTGCAACGCCGACTCCATCTGCAGAGGGGGCATCAGAAATGTTTTTTCCCCATTCAGAAACACTTATAAAATAGCACCAAATGGAAACTCAATCCTTTGTGGTGACACAAAGAGGGTCTTTCGTAATATAAGTACTTGACTATACTCGTGTACTCATTTCATCTCATCTTCCATTGTTGAAAACCAGTTCCAGTACTCAAGAAGACAGGTACAGAGCATGGATAGAAAAAAATAAACACTTGTTCTTGCCATGCCCCAAATATCAAACAAACATTGGTTGCATTCTCACCAAACCAGACAAATCTCAAGTGTGTTGTTGGGAGGCAAGTTAGCAAGACCGGTCATGCCAAGACCACAAGCACGATCTTTGTGTTCGTGGTATTGAGAAACACCTATAGATTCACTAAACTTCCCCTGAATGGATAACTAGTTGATTTTTGCAATTTCTAGATCTCCCCACAAACCTCCTTTAGCTGTCTGGTTTAGGGAATCACTCACTGAGCTAATGAAAAAACCCTAGCAGGTTTACAGCATGTTGCAATGTGGGAGACGGGCCATCTCTGGCCGCCGCGAGGTACACTTTCACCGACCTTTCGTAGCTCTGGGTTGTTGTGTTTCCAGTGCTCCTGCAGTAGTTTCTGGGCCAGCTGCAAGGGGGACACAAGCAGTGACATGTGGTCACCCTCACCCCTGTACTCCAGCTGCCAATGTTTTTGGGGTGTGTCCAGGTGCCCACCATCCTCTGCCGCTCTTCCCTGGCTGAGCGGAGCTCCTCTGTCCTCTGCAGCAGCTGCCTGGCCTGCACCGCGCGGTCGGGAACCAGCTCCCGCAGCTCGGCCTCCAGTTGGTCCCGCTCGTTCTGCAGCAGTTCGCGCAGCCGTTCCCGCCGCTGCTCCAGGCTGCGTGTCTTTTCCTGTTTTATACTGTCCTGCTGATACGCTGCCATGCTGACAGTCAGCAGGTACCCCAAGGGTTAATGAGGAGGACTTCAATCTCATTCTTGGACCCCTTGAGACGATATTTAATGCCCTTTGTGTAATTTGCTTGCTCACAAATGTCATTTTATTACTATTATAAAGATAGCAATAGTAATAATAAATAACCATAAACTTGATCTGATTGAGCATCAGTAATAGATAAGTGAGGAAGTCCACCGAATTCGCCATTGCTTATCTCGATCAGGTAAATTACCTCTGCTGGAAAGACTGCCGGGAACTCCACTGTGCCTGCTTGCTGCTACGGACGTCCTGCTGTCTAAAGTACTGCGAATGGGTCTCCCACTGGCGCCGCCATCGCTCCTCGCGGTCCCGCTGACGAAGCATCTGCTGCTCCAGGCTCCGGCTCGCCCAGCGTGTGGAGAGCGTCGGCAGAGCCATCGGGTCGCAGCTAAAAGACACACCACATCGCGGGACATTAAAACGGGGAAGACCTTTCGCCGCTTCCTGTTTTTCTTATTGTTGCACAGAACATCGTTCGCACTGAAAACTGCAACACGAGCAGCAAATTACATTGAAGTGAATGAACGTGTTTATCATCTGACGTCATTGCCTGATATCGCTATGTTTGGGTAGCTAGGCAGCAGAAAGCATCATGATTAATCAGTTATCGAGTTTTGGATTAATGTGCATATTTATTAACAGGTTTTATAATACCTTAAGAATTAGGTTGTTCTTACTCCTCAGTAAAACAGCGGCGATTTCTGCGTTTCTTGCTCCAAAGCTCGGATTGTCTTCTGGTCCGTGTTTTCAAATTTCCGTTGAGATCAAGGGGAGTTTTCTGCAGAAGCCACTTCCTGTTTCTCTTGGTAACCCTTTTATTTCCTGGTTACCCGACGGCAGACCGCGAGGGTCTTAAAGCCCGGAAGGCGAATTAAAGCCGCAGTTTGATGATTCCTAATAGTATGTTATGTTACATGGCAGATACGCACAAAAAGCAAATGGATAGATATATAAATTTTAAATGATCTAATTCTGTTGACACATGTACGCATCAACGCAATATTTAATTAGGACTTCTTTATTATTGGGTATTTGCAACTTGTTGAAACTTTTTCAGGTTTTCCAGTGAGTCAGATGAAAAAGTTTTTAGTTTAGATCATTTCCGTTTTACGAAGGGAAAAAAATCAGAATGTGTTTTACTGTAGAAAAACAAGATCAAAATATTATACCCAATATATTTGTGAATTGTACTGACAAAGTCTCGGGTGTAGAACAGGCCATTTATGGCCATTCTAGCAAGGTGTATTCAACTGTCAACAGTATAAATTATGCATTACCACAATATAAATAATAAATGACGGCTAGACAAACTTTCACATTTTGACTCAAAATAAAGTTGAGTCAATGCTATGAATGTAAGGGACAAGTTTCAGGAGGTGGGTGCTTCAGGAAATCCAATATGTGTCATGAAACGAAAACGTCGAGTAATTACTCGGAGTTGCGTGATTAACAGCGTGCATTAATAGAGAGAGCAAGAGCAGTTTAGCTATTTTGCGTACTACAATTTCTAATTTTGTTGAATTTGACACGAAGCTACTCAGTCAAGACAAGTATGATCGACAATAGTTTGCAAAAATATATTTACTTAAGACATAGGAATTTGATAAAATTGCATATTCTGCCAGTTAAACTACAGAATACAGAAAGTTTGTATGTAACAAGCCGATTAAGAAGGTAGGCCTGATCTATGCAAACTGATTCGTTATGCTCCAAAAGTTCTCATTTTCATATATGATGGGCATTGTCCCTCCCTCTTTTGCTCGATTGGCTCTTCGTTACCCACCAGCTGACCCAAGTCTCCGTGTGGTTCACATGTCCACTCATTTGCATTGCGGAGGAGAAAAGTATCGGTACTACTTCAGTTCTTGCATTTTTCGGCAATTAGCGAGTCAGATCACTATAAGCAATGGCTCTCTTAATGGATCACCAGTTTAAACAGGTCCCAGCCGATAAGCAAGTCGAGACTAGAGCATTTCTAGACGCAGTCTCTTACCTTCCGCCATTCTTCGGTAAGTTTCTCTATATACTGGACTTTTGACACTAGAGTTGCGGGACTTTGTAAAATTTAATAAGTTCTACGGAAACAGTATCTCTCCAGAAACTGAATCATAAATGTTGACACTGCGTTTGCGTTTTCTGATTTAAACTGATCAAAACAGCATATTTAAATAGCCTTTAAACCTTTTTAACTAACGACAGGATTTTTCATTAGTTAAGTTGTATTTTTGCCGTCTAAAACAGAATGGACTACTGAAACTACTGGCAATGGCAGCGAAATATAATGCAGAGAAAACGTATGTGATTTTATGAAACTGTATTTTAATGTACTACATATGAACTCCATACACATAAGCCATTAATCATTGTCATCTGTGTTCCGTGACAGGTTGGATAACTCCGTTATTCGTGTTTAAAAACTTTATTTGAATGTGGCGTCTAGAATAAAAAATCATCAGTAAAATTGAGACAACCATTGCAGCTCTTTTTACATTCAGTATCCACATTTGAAGAATTAATCACTTTTAAATCTAGCCTACTGCACGAAACTGATTAAATAACTGATGATATAAAGGTTGAACATCTGCAAATCAGACTGGCTCAGTTATGAACGTTTTTAACTGCCTGCAATGTCACCTAACATGTTGGTAGTTAGCCTACCCCTTTGTAACTAGACTAAGTGCTGATTTCACGTTTTCTGTGTTTTTTTGTGAGGTGTAAGGAAAGCTAGTAAAGTTTTGATGGGCTTTTTATGCTGAAAGCTGACATACAGTAACTACAAAACAAGTTAGGCATTATATAATGTGGATAATTAAGGTATTGATGTGGAACTGTACAAAAAACAGAAAAGTTTGATTTGAAAAGTTGCTTGATTTGAAGTAACTAAGAATCAGTTGTCCTCTCTGGATGTCTTTAACATTCAAACCTACTGAAATCTTTTTGGGAAATATAGCCTAATGAAGCCATTAGGCAATTTTTCCGATTTGCTACTTGTTACTTGTGCTATTCTTTAGACAATGTGAATTGAATTTTGAAGTAAGCAATAGTGATGTAATTCCCTGTTTAATGAGAGATTTTAACAGGACCACACAGAATGTCTTGCTTGAGTGGCAATCCAAAGACACTAGTAATTATCACATTTCAGCCCATTCAGATGGACCAGTCTTGGGTACCTGACAACCATAGCCAGAGATAAATTTCATTGGGGATCCAGCAACCAGGGGGGTGGAGAGTCCCCCTCATTCTTGGCCGAGAGCAAACAAATTTGCGGCAGGGGGTGTTTCAAACCTTAGTAATTTTGCTACGTGCCTGGGTTACATACATAAATAGGTGATTAAGTATGATATGTAATGGCTGAAGCAAAACTACATGTATATTAATGTACATATCTGGGGGAATTGGAGGCTGCATTGGGGTTAGGGTTACATATATCTGCATAGAAAAAAGACAACAAAATATTGTCATCATCATAGCTTTCCAAAAGTGCCAGGAAGTAACACTCAGGTAGAAATGAGGAATCATTAAATACAAATCCCGAATCTGATTTCATTTCCTCTCCACATCAATGCTGTAAAATACCAGAAGTAACGTGCGTCCAGGCAAAACACTTCTGTCAAGATCAGGCAATTATGTCCCATTATCTTATCAGGGGGGGGTGTCCAATTTCTTTGCCAACAAAGGAGCAAACCTTAATACATGCATAATTTACTCATGGGTACCCCGATTTCAGCTGAGAAAATTGATGAGTGTGGTGTTGAATTGCTTTGCCCATTTGCGGTCTACCAGGGGCATCTTCCTGTGGCTCATTCTGTATTAATATATTAAACCTTTTCTACTCGTCTCGTCATCCGGAACACTTGGAGCCCCTGGTTTCTGTTGTTGAAATTAGTCTGCTTTCTTTCCATTTCATTGTATTGTGTCAAGTGTTCCAAGATCCTAATAAGCCACTTCTGTTTAAACTTGCAACAATAGTGGAAATTTGATAGTAAACTCTTTTTCATAAAGAAAATATAGGCCTAAAAGAATCAAAAGATATTTATTTGAGCAACCATTTATTAAAATGTTCACTTCTGCTTTTGCTGATTTACAGGAAAACAACCATCATGTGTGTTTACAAGATATAAATGCTGCCATGTAAAGAGTGGTCCAGCACAATTGAATGTTTTAGTACAAAGCACATACAGCCCAGGGTAACCAACAAAACTTGTTTGGTGTTTTCTGCACTATGCATGCAGTCCTGAATTGGTACAATGCAGAATTGATGACAGTTTTGAGTACTGTTTCTACTAAGCCTGCATAGCCGTGGGACTCCAAAGCATTATTAAACCACTCATTTCCGTGTAAAGCGGTGCATCGCATCATGGGGGCTGGAAACAGGGGCAGTATTGTGTATGGGGGCGAAGGGGAAGAAGATGGACTGAGATAATCGGTGCATTCAGCAAGGAGGCGGAGGTCTGACGGGTGGGGGTGGAATTTTTTGGAAACCAGAGATGCCCCGTCCACGAAACACAAAGCATGTCGATCTGCGACAAAGAACATCGCTGTGATGGGTCAAAGCTGACAGCTGTCAGCGCAGCCTCTGTGCTGCGGCTCTCAGGCGGCCAGTGGTGACCCAGTAAATCATTTCATTTCTTCGGTTTCTACTTTTGGACACTTTTACGCCAGGCTGTCTGACATTCATTTATTTGTGTTTGTATTTTTATTTTTTATAGATACATTGACTAAAATCTGACGCATAATTAACACACAAGTCTCCATTTGTTTAAGCGACATTTTGGTCTTGTTAAGAAACATCATTTAATTGCAGAATTAAAACTGCGAGGAGGTCTTAGATTTTACCCAACTTACAACTGCATAGTATGTAGCCGTGTTGGTAGCAATATGGCGCAACGTCCGATCTGTGCTTAATGGGACCTGCTGAAGCTGAACGACGTGCCAAGGTGCACCACTGAAAAATGGATGAGGCAAAGAGGCCCTTTCAAAAATCTGTTTAGTTCTCTTGGTGGCATGAGTAATTGATGAGTAGACTTAATGAGATTTCTTAATGTCCTGCCTTAACAACAAATTAAGGAGTTCAGTGCGTATTTTCCTGTAGGTTGATGCTGTTGAAATATTTCTTGTCAAGTATTATATGCTATACCTTATTACAGAACCGCTACTGATAATGAAAACATGGTCGGTTTCCTTGTAATGATCGTTAACATTGCTGCTTTTCTTTCACCAAAGATTGCCTTGGTTCTACGGTTTTTGCGCCGATTAAATCCGACATCATGGGAAATATCACTGTAAGTACAGTAGCTGCTCCACTGCGAGAATGCCACTCAATAAAGCTTGGTTCCCCCTCCCTGTAAGAACATCTCTCTTTCATTCTCTTTCCATACAGAAAATCAAGGCAGTTTATGACAGCAATCCAAGCCGTTACAAAACCCTTCAGAATATACTGGAGGCTGAGAAGGAGATGCATGGATCCCAGTGGCCCAAAGTGGGAGCAACTCTGGCACTCATGTGGCTGAAGAGGTAGTCCTCTCCTTCCCCAGGACAAACAGCATGTCCATCGCAGCCTTCCACAAACTGTATGCTGATGGCTTCTACTTCCAATTGTCACCAGGGGGCTTCGCTTCATCCAGGTCCTTCTGCAGAGCATCGCTGATGGGGAACAGGATGAAAACAACCCGAACCTGATCCGTGTTAATGCCATTAAGGCCTACGAGTTTGCCCTGAAAAAGTACCATGGCTGGCTGGTCCAAAATCTCTTCAAGGTAAGCAAAGCTGTAGGATGATGTCATGTCAGTTTGGCACTGACTGCTGCCATTAAAGATGTGAAGATGTCTTCAAGAAAGATCTGAGGCATGTCTCCATGGAGCTGTGCAACTGGAAGCAAATCACATACCTCCAGTTCCACACTTCAACAACACCAAGTCCCTCATGAGCTAAAACCGCTAATCAATTGGTTAGAATGACGCACCTTAACAGAGGATGGTGGGTGCAGCAAGCATTGCGATTCACATAACCACATGTGACCCACAAACAAGGTCATAATTATATACACATGCAGTAGAGCCGGCCAGGTTCTGTCAGAGAGTGATTTTCCCTGTGTCCTTCCATGCAGATGGCCATGCTTGCGGCACCTTACAAGTCAGACTTCCTGAAGGCCCTATCCAAAGGGCGGGAGGTCAAGGAGGAGGACTGCTTGGAGAAGATCCGCCAGTTCCTCGTCAACTTCACAGCCACCGTAGACGCCATCTATGAGATGTACACGAAAATGAACGCCGAGCTGAACTACACAGTGTGACCACCGGCCCCTCCCCCCCACTGGGCAGTCCTCTCCAGTGACACATCCACTCCCAGCCCTGCCCCATCTGTCAGTTTTAAGCCCCTCGCTGCCTGAAGGTTTGTGTGTCGCCCCATTTGATGGGGGTTGTCTGTGATTTCAATCTGCTTCCTGGGTTGCAAGTCTTTTCCTTTACGGGACTTTCCTCTGAGTGGCCCAACTCGCATCTCAGTGCACTGGAATGGGTCCTTAATGCACACTAGAGGTCAGTGATTCTGGCAAAAGGTAGCTGAAATGGCAGCTGAGAAACACTGGAAAAACTCCACTGTGTAATGCTGACCATTTAAAATCCCATTAAAAATATGTTTCTTCTCAATTATATAATTCATAACTGCTTCATAGGGCTTCTTTAGTATTAGCAGTGAAATACAATATATTATAAATTCTTTATTTAAATTTTATGGGTTGAACAGAACATTTTGTGTAGCTTGGAAGGTTACATGAAATTGTTATTTTTTTAACCGAACTGGAAATATAATATTTAATGCATATAAATTCAAGAGCTGCATGAATCTTTTAAAATGTGTGCTTTCAATAACTAAGTGAAGATGTTCTGAGACATTTGATGTTTTATGTTTTGCTTTTAAATATATACTGGTATTTTACTGTTCAACACTGTACAAGAACTGTATAGCATCTCTCAAAGTATGCCCAGTCCTGCTACTTCATTTTAAATGTGTTTTTGTTTTTTTTGCATCATCAGTGTTTGTCTTGATTTTTGGTGTTTCCTTTTATATATTTAATGCTACAAAATGTAAAGGGAGATAACATTTTCAACATATATTTCAATGCCCAGGAAAAATTGTCTTGGTGAGTAAAGCTTAACAGAATTTGTGTTGTAATCAATTTCCTATAAATCTGATTGTTTGTTCAATTTTCAGTCAGTTGATATGCACATGTTTTCAGTTAAATCAAATACAGCCATCTTGTGTTAGTGTTAGAAGTCTAATATACAACGCCATGTGTAAATTATTCTGCAAATATTTCAGTAGTTTAATGCATGATTAAATTATCCCCAATTGCAAATTAAGGTCCACTTTAACCTTTGTTATATGTTCATGTAAAAGGGACTAAATGTTTATATATAGCAATACATACCTAAAAGGGTGCCTTACGCGTGTGAAACCAAACCGTAAGTCTTTGTATAGAAGTGGAGAAATAATATTATTAACAATATTATTACACTCCAAAAGGCGCTGCTGGCCAGTGCGCCATCTAGTGTCCATTCTTCTTCGACACTTTGCGACAAAGGCAACAGTTTAGTAAATCGGCACCATGGCTTTGTGTATATATACTGCATATTATTTGGGTGCCTCCTAACATTTGTTTTACATGCACTTTGCCCAATGGGCAACATTTGCAAATATTTAGTTGCTCTTATCTCGTGCACTTTACTGCTCCAAGACCTAAATAAAATATAACAGAAGCCGTTTAAATGTATACTTTTATTTATGTTTGCCTGACGGCTTTTCTTTCACATCCCAGTATTTCACTGAAGTGGATGTGAATGTGCATTGCATTGTTTCAAACTGCTAATATTTTGTCAATAAAACAAAAAAGGTAGGCGACTCGTATGTATGTTTGTGTGAGGATCAGATGAATTTTCTAAATAGGCCTAGTAGATGCGGTTATTAAATCAATGTACACCATTTTAATTTGTTTTATAATTTAGCAATTATAACACCTATTATCGTATTCTAATGGAATTCAAATGGTAAATTTAACAACGGTGAAATTTGATCTATTGTGACTTTTTCCCATAATTCTGAAACTGTAGTATGTAACAGAGCCACATGATGGCGCCTAAAACTAAAGATTCGGCGTACACTGTCAGAAAAGGGGTAAAAAAGTGTACTTTTGCTTGTCACTGGGGCTGTACCCTCAAGGGTCTGCCAGTTGTACCCTTAGCTGTAGATAATTGTACCTTGTAAGATAAGCCTACAGAAATGGACTCTGAGGAACATTTCTGTACCATTGATGGTACATTAATGCTGTTTGTACATTTGGGGTGTTCCTCAGAGTCCATTTCTGTACCTTAAAAGGTACAATTACAGTAACAAGCAAAGGTACAATTTTTTACCCATTTTTCTGAGAGTGTAACTGGAACGATCAAGCCAGCTTGATTGATTTTAACTTTATAATACATTGAATTTACATTTTTGTATTACTGACTAAATTGAAGAAAAGCATGTTTGATTATGAATAAATTCTTTTACAGAGAACCTTGATTTCGCTTTTATAGTATACAGGTTAGCCTATTGGAGAAGCGAAATCAAGACTCGCTGTAAAAGTGCAATTTTGCCACTTGTTGAAAATGGTTTGTTACATATTCACAACTAGGGGCAGAGTTGTTCAGATTTCATTATTGAATGTTTTGCGAAAATTATATGGCAAGACAGTCAAGAAAGTTGCCCTGAATTCGACTATTCTAAAAAAAGAGTGGGCGGTGTATGGAAATCGTGGATTTGGAAAGGGGAGAACAGGCGGCCACTGTGAGTGAGCTCAGACGGGGTTCTCTCTTGGGATGGGAAGCCAATTAAATTCAGTCCTGTTACCGCCTTTACCTTAGAAGAGAAAGAAAAACTATTCGGATTGCAAAGCTAATAAGAAGAAAGGGGAAACATATATCATTGTTTATTGTAGTGTAAATGACACGGCACTGTCTTTTTTTCTGAAAAAGTGAAGTTAAAGTGGCGATCAAGCTGGAATTTGTACGAAGGGATTTATTGACTATAGTCAGGTAAGCATGTTGGCTTGTGTGATTGTATGTTACTGCAAAAAAATGCGGCTTTTTTCGGGATATAATCTTAAATATGTGCTCTTCTTTAAGTTTAAAGTATTGATAAGTGGGCAAAGACATCGGCTCATATTTTTCGTACGAGCGGAAAACAGATTTTCACTTCAAAATAGGAAATACCTCCTTGCTATAGCCTATGTGTTTTGTAGTGGGTCTGCGCAGCTCCGTGCAAGAAGCATTGCTTTGTGTTGGTTTTCGTTGTTATTGTTATGGACTTCATTGCTTTTATGTGAGCTTTTTCTTCCGAAAAACGTAATTTGTGAGACAAAAGAACGTATCATTTGGGTAAAGCAGGCTATCAAATGAATTCATCACACCCATGTCATCCCCTTTGAAATACCGTGAATAGAGGTGCTGCTAACCGGGTGGAGCAGCTTCCGTAAACAGCCATCGCAGTGAGGTGAGACAGGATCATAGAATCTTCGTAGAACCGGTTTTCTTGCTTGGACGATCTTCTCACTTTCCCCACTCCAGTTGAAATTTTCGAATTCAGGTGTACGGCCATAAATGTCACTCTTGTATAACATTGGTGGTACCAGACGCCGCTTTCTAATTTAAGGAAATGCGAACAAAATGCAGGAAATGTGAAGATAATACCTGTGCGGTAATAATTACTCACTAATGTGATAGACTTGGGAGGAACACATTAATTGCCGATCAATTGTTGGTCAGGAGTTATAAATGGCCAATTGCTTGCATGTGATTGTTTTCACCGGGGGGGGGGGAGTTTTCTAACTGCGGAGATGGGGACTGGAGGAACACGGTGGTGCCTTCTGGGAGTGCAGTTTGATAGATTGTGCCGCTGTTAATTAATTAATAAATAGATAGATGGATGGATGGATGGATGGATGGATGGATGGGGTGCTGTATTGCTATATTCCACTTTTGTGTGTAGTGGCGTGATTTTATGACTGAAGTGCCCTTACCTGTGTTTTAGCCTTATGGAGTGTGGCGTCCTGCCTACTGTGTGTCTGTCCCGATACTGAGTGTGCGCAGTACAGATGGATGTTTTAAGGAAATAAAAATGATTGATTCTTTGTATTTGGCTGTGGGTTGCGGTTCACAGTATTGAAATGTTTTTTTTTGTTTTGTTTAGTTTTGTTTTTCTTCCTGCCTGAGTTTCGGCCAGGCTGCGTGTGTCTTGGCAGCCCGGATATTCTTTCTTTCCTTTTTCTTGATAATAAAAAGGGTTCGCGCTTCTTCACGGTAGAAACTGCCTCCTGCCTTTTTTCCTCTCGCCACAGTAACTTGTTGCATTGCTGAAACCTAAATTTTGGGTTTACTTCATTAATTTGTGGAAACCGCAAGTTCCTATTGTACCTGTGAATTTAGGTAAAAAGTTTCAAATCCGTTACTTGGGATTCACCGCAGAAAGCTGTTATCAGTAGAATTTGATTGTTTAACAGTGGACAGCACTCTCAATTATCCACATAACTCCAGTTTCCCACGTCCCCTGACTCCCCTTGGGAATGGCCTTAGCTGGATAGGAAGTCCCTGTATTTGTCGGAGTGAAAGGGAGCCTGAAATATTGCGATCGGCGTTGTTTCAGAATCCTCAAGTTTGTTTTTTGATTGGACGTTTTGACGTGTAAGATAAGGAAGCGGCGGAAGCGGTGACCGCATTTCCGAAATGTATAAACCGAATGCCGAAATGTATAAACGTTCAATGTTACAAGTGGGGATCAGGTCCAGGTCTTTCTAGTTTTTCACCTTGAGGGGCAAAGCCCATCATTGTGACCTGAATCGTTTCCTGTTGGCAGGACCCTTTAGAGAAAAATACAATGCGAAACATCTGCAGTTAGATGGCAACAGCTGATCCCAAAGTTGCGAATGTGGGAGCCCATTTATCTAAATCTGAATTAGCATTTGTATTCTGAGAACATATGGTGGTGTAACTATTGGAAGTACATGCGAAATGATGATTTGTTTTCATTAGATATACTATCGGGAAGTTCACTTCAGTCAGGAAGATAAAACGTAGTTATGGTAATGGCTGGATTGAACACCGGACTTAATGGTGTTGCTGTAGTATTTTTGAGTAAGAAATGTTTTAGTAAAGTATGTATGATTCAGTAAAATGTCATGTACGTTTTTTGAGACAGAAAAAAAAATGTAGTAATGCATCTGAAACTTTGGTTAACTCCCCCATGTGATTGAATTAAAATGATTTAAAGATGCATTATCTCTGCATGTGAGAAGTGGTTATCAGAGGTATTTTGATGGCTCAATTTGCTTTGATGGTGCATTAGTAATATTCTAAGAGTAATGTGATAGTAATTTCAGTAGGCGTGAGGCAAGAAATGGTGAAACATTCTAAGTTGTGCAAGAGGAATAAGTGAAAATTTTGCAGAAGTGTTGGAGTGGAATTTTCTGATAATCAGCGGTGGGAAAACTATACCAAACAGATGAACTTTGGCACAGGAAGCGGTGCTTAGCAGGGAGCCAGAGCTGGGCTCTGTCCTTTGGGGGCCCCAGCTGTTCTTGTCTTAGTGCACTTTTCCACTGCAATAAGTACTGAGGATTTGGTACTGAAAAAGGTTCTGTCCTTTTTCACTAATTTCCTGTCCAGTAGCAGTACCAAAGCAGCTGGGGTACTCGTTTGTGTTTGGGTAATTTCCAGTGGGGCTTGCAAATGTATTTGTCGATTTAGTAAAGCAAATAATCTGCCTCGCAAACACAAAATACAAAGGCCACTTTTGAAAAATCGTGACACAAAGGAGACAATAAATGAAGTTAAAAAAAAAAGTAGTAATAATAATGAATGCGTGGACAAATGAAGAGACCCGAGCTTAACTTACACTCTGGTTGGAAGAACAGATGCAGTGAAATCTGGTTGGCAGGAAATTAAAAAGTATTTACTTTAAAATAGGCCAACTATTGCTACACATTACTGGAAAATTTTCAAATCATGATGTGATTTTTAATTTTTTTTTTCCAATAAATATTGATATTTATCATGCAAAGAAGGAGCTTAAGTCCTGATTGGCTGGACTGTACTTTATCTACCAATAGAGTCTGTCAAATAAATCTGTGTTGCTGTGAGTTGTGCCACAAACCACTTGCTTTTGCTCCAGAATCATCTGTAATCCAGAATATTTCCATACAACGGAAGGTGAATGGCTTTTGTTGGCTTTTCTCCTCCCACCTCATTTTGTTAAATTTCTCACAAACGTGTCTAAGTAGTTTAAACATGAAGGACGGAAATGAATGATTGAGTTGGAGAGCACATTCAGAGCTCATGCAAAAGCAGTGGAGGTAAACTTTAAACTGATTTTTAACATATAGTAGATAATCTTGAAAAGGAATAATTATTAAAGTTGCAAAGCCTGCAAAGTTTTGCTTCCTATGACAGTAAAAATGTTTAAGCAAAACTGTATATTGGAGTGTGTCAGAGCATACAGCCAGTAGCACTTCCTCTCTGGGCAAATTTTAATCCCTGTTTATTTGTTCCGCACTTTTTTTGGCCATCGTTCCTTGTTCTCCTTGAAGGGTGAATGTGGTTCCCTGGGATCAGAACTGCTGGGTGTTCTGGTGTTTTCAGACTACATTATCAGTTCTGTCAGCTGAAAAAATTTAATTGGCCACGTGGGTAACATTTTGCACCCCTCAGTAAGTATAAGAACCCGTGCTTTTATCAGCTGGAAGAACTTGAATTACAAAACTAACAATTATTCCTTTTAACTGATTTTGCTCGACCCAACATGGAAAACTAGCTGTCATGTCATATATAGAAGTGTTATCCACTGTTTGAATTGTGCCTCCGTTTGGTTTATTTTAACATGTTCATGTTGCTATTTAAACAGTGTCTTGGATTTTAAGCAGAAGTTTGCTGCTTTTTTCATTCAGTGATGCTTCAGTTTGATAAACAGAAAAGGTGGGGGGTTATTTAAACTGTTTGGGGCGCAGTCATAATACAGCAAGACACTGCACCGGTAAAATAAGCAGCTCTGGCGGGAAGCGCTTTTTGACCCACTTCTGAAACCAGGTAAACAAAATGTGCTGGAGATCCATAAGTATTATTTATTACTTCTAGGTTAGTGTGGACTATGTAAAAGCCTGCTGGGTGATTTGACAGCTTGGCGGCAGCAGTTGCGGCCTGGATGAAGTGGGTTTCTTTGAAATGCCCTCTCAAGTGGAGGAGGGGGCAGAGCAAAGTGGCAGCCTCAATAAATACCCCGTTATACCCTGTCCAATAGCAGAAGTTTATTGCTGTCAATATTTGTGAATTTTTTTACTGGTTTCCTGACAGAATTGTGCGTAGAATTTTTTTCTGTTCTGTATGGTGATGTTTACAGAAGACGGACCATCTGTGAATGTACAGTCAACAAGTGATTTTGATTATTCTCACCATTCCATCTGAGCACTATCTGGAAACTGAGCAAAAACACCCAATAATGCTGCATGCTTTGCTATTTTCACACAAGTTGATTGATTCATGGGTTTTGCGGCGAAGCAGGAATGACAGAAGCTGGCACTGTGGGGATGTGCTGCCTGGAACAGCATGGGCTGAAGGCTGTCTGCTGTGCGGGGAGCGGCGGAGACCTGAGCTCCGAGTAACACGAGTGAACTTTAACTCTCATAGCTGTAGACTTGGGCCATGCGGTGAATGGTGTGCTGCAGTGATGAATATAATCCTTTAAAAGAGAGAGAGACCCTGGAGCGCAATATAGGTAGGACTTAGGGTTCACCGTGTAATGTCCGCCTTTGATGGGAGAGTCACATAAATGTGGTAAAATGGAATTCTGAAGTTTTACCGAATCATCATCCTAGACGTGAAGTTTTCAGTGAGCTGTGAGAAGTGCCAGCTGTGGTAACAGAGGCATTTGGAGGTCAATGTGCCTCAATCTCTCAAATGCTTGTGGCAGCTGGACACTCGCTGAAGGTCCCTACATCACTCTCCATTTCACACACATTTGCAGGTCTCACGACGCTCCACATGAGAGGGTATTTACTGGTGTTTGCTTCACTTTTGGAGGAGATTTTGCCACAGTGTTGTGGAGGGGATGTGTAAGGTGAGAGAGCAACTAGGATTCCTTCTGCCTTCATTTATGTTGATAATTACAGCCAAATAAAAACTGAGTTACAGCTCACCCGAAAATTGGGTTATGTCTAAATACAACTGGATTTGGCTACACACACAGTTCTCATCAGACTATATACAAATCAAAAGTGACATGGGTTGATTTGTTCATATAATCTTTAAGAATAGTTGTCACAGATTGCTTATATATTGGCACATCCAGTAAAGTATGTTGGGAAAATTCCACGCTGCCGTCTAAATGCCATATTCCATTTAGTGGTTTTGAATATAGCCTCCGGTAGCCTCCCTCATTTCTGGGATCTGACCCAACAGACAGCTGGACCTCAGATGTCTCAGGAACAGGGGTGTAGCCAGCACTTTTCTCCTGGGGGGCATCTAGTTCCAGTCATTTTGTTGGGGGTGGCACTTGGCAGATTATGATAAAAACTGACGGTAAGAGTTCCCTTGCTTCTGACCATCCTCCCCCAGTGGCTAATGCTTCACAGCCACAGTCTGTGGCAGCATTTGGCTCCTCACCTGCTCTTTCCTCAATCTCTTCAGAAGCAGAAGTGATCCCTAGTCATCAGTACTTGTATCACTTGATCTGAGGCTCTTAAAAAAAATAGAAATTTTCACTCTTCTGCTTTCCTTTTCATTGAGCCCAATGACTATTAAAAATGGTTTAGTTAACGTTAGATGCAGAACACATTTTACTGTGAAGTGCATATTAGGTAGTGATCGAGTTGGACTGAATTTGGGCACTTTCTCCCAAGTCTCCCAATGCTGCATACCCATTGGCATCATGTGCAGTCCAGGGGGGGCAACAGAGGTGGGCTAAGCTTCAACCGGGGGGGGAGGGGGGGGTCGTCAGTGGCCCCCTAGGCCACCATGTAGGTCAGCCCCTGCTCAGGAATGACCACATACAGCGCTTACAGAACGTTTTGGGACGCTTGCTTAATTCTCTAAAAATATTGCTAAATTCTTCTTTATTAGCCAGGTACAGCTGCATGAACTAGGAATTTGTTTTGGCAATATTGGTGCTTATATTCACACAATACATAGTAAACAAAAATCATTACGTTATTCATTTGTTTTAGTGTGTGATATATATATATATATATATAATCGCATTAGAAACAACCAGTAGTAATGCATTTAAACTCAAATTATAAGAGCTGTTCTGAAGTGACAACCAGCCTTACTGGGTTCTTTTAATTAGTGACACCTTAACATAAAATGCCAAAGATTTGTGTCTAGTACCCATTTGGGAGCCAGTGACTGCAATTGGGATTATTAGCTAAATGGCAAGAACAGAACTGAATGAGTCAGTCAAAAAAATTATGACACTTGATAAAAAGAAAATGTCTGTGCGAAAGATTTGTGTAGATATGTTAATAGACTTTTGTTATGAAACCAATACATTTACAGCATTTTTACAGAATTAAGCAAGCATCCCAAGACTTCCTGTAAATCTTGTATATTATGTGCTGTTTTTTAATTCAGGTTCTGGCTAGTTTTTCAGAAGAACCTATGTAGTTACATAGACTGACTGAGTCCAGTGTTCTGTAGTCTATGAATTAGATTCGAATCATCAGACTTTTTTCAAATTAAGAACATAAGAAATATACAAATGAGAGGGGGCCATTCGGCCCATCGAGCTCGTTTGGGGAGAACTTAACTAATAGCTCAGAGTTACTAAAATCTTATCTAGCTCTGATTTAAAGGAACCCAGGGTTTTAGCTTCCGCTACACTAGCAGGAAGACTATTCCATACTCTAACTACACGCTGTGTAAAGAAGTGCTTCCTCAAATTTGTTTTAAAATGTTCTCCCGCTAATTTCCACTTATGGCCACGAGTTCTAGTATTTAAACTAATATTGAAATAGCCATTTGGCTGAACAGCATCCAGACCCGTTAGAATCTTATAGACCTGGATCATGTCCCCCCTTAGTCTCCTTTGCTCAAGGCTAAACAGATTCAGCTCAGCTAACCTCTCCTCATAAGACATTCCTCTAAGACCAGGAATCATTCTCGTAGCCCTCTGTTGCACCTTTTCTAAGGCAGCAATGACTAATAACTAATAACTACTCGCTGCTTCCTGTCAGTTAACCAGTTTTCGATCCAAGCTGCCACAGTTCCTAAAATCCCTGCAGCTTTGAGCTTTAGCAAGAGCTGTTTGTGGGGGACAACATCAAAGGCCTTCTGGAAATCTAAGTAGATCACATCATAGGCCTTTTTGTGATCAATTTCACTTGTGACTTCCTCAAAGAACTCAAGTAGATTCATTAAATAGGATTTACCTCTCCTAAATCCATGTTGGCTATCTCTCAGAATGTTATTTGAATCCAGGTAATCTACATTTTCACTTGGATTATAGCTTCCATTATTTTTCCAGTAATGCTAGTTAAACTGATTGGCCTATAGTTTGCTGGATTACTTCTATCCCCATTTTTGAATATGGGTGTTATATTAGCATGCTTCCAATCCGAAGGTACCGCACCCGCAGATAACGATTTCTGGCATATTAAAGTTAAAGGTTGGCTAATAATAACCCTCATCTCTTTTAAAACTATAGGTAAGATGCCATCAGGGCCATGCGATTTATTTATTTTGAGTTTAGCTAGGCTTAGTACCACATCAGCCTCAGTTATACATATATTATAGATTATAGTTATAGATGGCGCTGTATTCGTACTAATTGGTGGTAAGTTACTCATGTTCTCTACTGTGAACACCCGTGAAAAATAATCATTAAACTCATTTACTATATCAATTTCATTTTCAATTATAAGGCCCTTACTATCCTGCAAATTAGTGATTTCAGCTTTTAGAGCTCTTTTGGAGTTACAATACTGGAAGAAACTTTTATTGTCATCCTTAGCCTCCAATGCGATCTTCCTCTCTACATTTCTCTTGGACAGTCTAATGTTATTTTTTAACTCTACCTGTAGACTTAGATACTCCTGCTTAATTTTGAAATCATTAGTTATTTTCCAATTGTGGAACAGAGCCCTTTTCCTCCTGACTTTATTCTTAATTTCCTTAGTAAACCACCTTGGTTGTCGTTTCCTAGATTTAGTTTTGCTGAAAACAGGTATAAAGTCCTCTTGCACTTGCAACAATGTGCTTTTAAAAAATTCCCATGCCTCTTCAACCATTTTGCTATTTAACTCCATCCAGTTTACAGTTTCTAGTTTCAGTCTCATACCATTAAAGTTAGCCTTCCTAACACTGTATACTTTTAATCTTGACTTTGCTCTTCGGACGCTAAAATTAACCTCGAATTTAACCATGTTATGATCACTACCGTCCAATGGTTCTAAAGGAGAAAACAAGATCAAGAAGGGCTTCTCCCCTGGTAGGGGTATTAACAAACTGAGTAAAAAAACAATCCTGTACTAATTCCACCATCTCAAGTTCATTTACAGAAGAGCCAGAGACTGTGTCCCACTGTATCCCAGGTAAATTAAAATCACCCATAACCACCACATCATTTTTATTACTCATAATCCCGATATCATCATATAACATTCTGCTTTCCTCTGCAGCCACATTAGGTGCTCTATAACAAACCCCGACAATTAGGGGCCAAAAGCCTGTCCACTCGATTCAGAAGGTCCCCTACCTGGGCGTCAGGCAGGCAAGACACCGTACGGGACCCTCTATCACGGGTGCACACATAACTATCTACACCTCTTATAATTGAATCCCCTACTACCACAACCTCCCTCCTACTGGGGTTAGGCGGCTCCTTGGTGCCCAAGGGCTCCACCTGCCTCCCCAGTCTCTTCCGGCTCTAAAGCTTGAAGCACCTGAAAGCGGTTAGACAACGTCACTTCAGGTGATGCCGCCTCTGTGAATTGTGTACGCCCTTTTCTACATCTACGACCTACGTTCACCTAACTCTCTCGACCTACCTGTTCATCATTCTCCCCCCTCTCCGCTTGTGACATACACACAGTCTCCCTAAAAGGCGTGTTAACTCTCTCCTTTAACTCATTGTTATGTTGGATGAGAGCCAGTTGCTCCTCGAGGTCACGAACCTGGACCATGAGTGAGTCCACTAACTCACATCGCTCGCAGACGAAGTCCGACTGGACGCAAGCATCCAGAAGGGCAAACATCTTGCAAACACAACACTAAGCTGGCCCCATAATTACCTAACTCACTATGACCCCGTCCTTTACTCCCAACCCAGTATATTAATATAGCTCTACAGCTCTCTACAGCTGCTGCATGTTCTGTCACCCACAGGGCTTTTGTAACTCCACCATCTTGGGACGGGACGGTACTGCGTCACCATGGCAGACCCAGACAGTGCAAACGGCCCAGCTGAGAATGACATTTCCTTCCCGCTGTCCTCACTTGCCAACCTGTTTGAGGGCGAGGAGGTCTCTCCAGCCCCAGATCCCCCTCGGACAGGTGACAACCGGCAGAACCTACGTATGAAGTTCCACGGCGCCTTCAAAAAGGGCGTCTCAAACCCTATGGATGATTCATCCTTGGGGCCTGGCCCCAAGAAGGCACCAATGGACACACTGTACGATTACGGCACTTACCACCAGCCCAACAAACAGAAACGGTACCGGATGAAGCTCCCTCGGGGGTGAGTGTCTACAACTATAGCTTCTGTTCATTTCTTACATTATTATTTTAACGTTTCTGTTTCCTTCCCATGCTACAGGACACACTGACTAGAGGGTAGATAAGGATTTGGACCTGGGTCTAAAGTTTGGATGAGTCCCAGGAGGGACGTTCTTGTTGTACCCTTCATTGTGGTACTTACTGTAGACTTAATGTAATAATTCAGAATATAAGGGATAGCAACAAACTAGTCATAATTCTTAACTTAATCCTTTCCGTTCATTTCTGGTAGTATTATGTATGTCCTGGATGGTTACTAATGTGTTAAAATAGGTTAACAGACCATACTCATCATGTGGAGTGATGTCACATGCTTGACTATGTTTTTGGTGTGCCCAGAAACTCACAGACAGTGTGTCGCTGTTACCGCCCTTGAGGTAATGTTTAGGTTATGTCTTGCGGCCCGCCACTGAGGCGCTATAGCACAGTGGAGCCCATTGACCAGGTCTGTCAGGCAGGTTTCTGGAGAAAGAGCCCCATTCCATCCCAGTCCAATGCAGGCGAACTTTGATCTGACGGAGGCTCCACAGTCAGCCATACGCCCAGTCTTCTGGAAGCCCGAGTAGTGGCTCACACAGGCTGCGTATAATGGTTAGCAAGGGAATTTACTTCATAGACCTATAACGGAGATGTAGACTTTACATTCGTTCAAGCCACATTATACAGAACTCCACAAACACTTGGATACTAAATATCCAGAGAAACCAAGGAGGTATTCTGAACCACCTTCCCTATTGATATTCATTATGCCTCCTGTATTCAGGAGAGGCTGCTTTCAAAAAGATTTTCAAGAAAAATCCATGCTTTGCATCTCAGAGGCACCAGAAGAGAAAGATTTGTTAGTTTTAAAAAATACCTACCTTTAACAAATATTTGTATTGAATGTTCTGTAACATTCTTGGCTTTTTTAGACAAGGTACAAGCACTTTGATATACAGCCTGGTTTTTTTTCCAAATCATAACAAAGTTAAATCAAAATTCTCATATCAAATGATCCATCTACTGTGCTTATGAAGTCAGTCAGTAAGCTGAATGTCTGTTGTGACATGCATGGACATGTCTGACTCCAGGGCAGGTAGACGAGAGGCCTGTATCACGAAGCAGGATTTCTTGCTTGGCTGGGTAACTTGTCGAATACAGGCCCAAGGAGAAACATCTTTGTGACATGTATTTATAACTTTTCACAAAAGCGATCGATGATAGATCTGAATTGATCTGACTTGGGTGACAGGTTAAAGTGAACTGGGCTGTTGCTTTCAGATAGGTGTGGCCAGTCAAAAACTGAAAAAACAGTAGGTTGAAACAATACAATCATGAATTATAATTTTATATGTTTTCAAAAAGAGCTATAGAAGTAAAATATACTATGAACTGTTGAATTTCTGTGGTGTGTCATTGATGTGAATGAGGATGCTTCCAGTTTTCCTCCAGCATATAAATCAAAGAAACTTTTGCACTCTCAAGCCATAATTTTTTGAGGGTATTTTTTGCATGAGGCAAGTCAATCTAGCCACAAATACATATTTTTTCAGCCTTCCCATTGGATAGTAGTTTCCCTAACCATTGCTTGCTTCTCCCACAGAAAGACAGAGACTGAGAGCATTGATAACACCAAGTCAGCTCCAGATCCCCCCAAAGTTCTGAAGGTGTTCAACCGGGCCATTCTGTTCGATGCTGTGTCCCGAGCGGATTGTGAGGCCCTTGATGGTTTGCTGCAGTACTTGCAGAGCCATGACAAAAGGCTCACAGACGAGGAATTCAAAGGTGAGGTTTGGGACAGATGAACCAGGGCAGAGCAGTGAATTTTACACTGATCAGCCATAACATTAAAACCACTGACAGGTGAGGCTCAAGTGGACAATCAGATTTGGAAGTTGATGTGTTGGAAGCAGGAATAATGGGAAAGTGAAAGGATCTGAGAAACTTTGACAAGGGCCAAATTGTGATTGCTAGACGACTGGGTCAGAGCATCTTGAAAACGACTTTGTGGTCTGCAGTGGTCAGTAGCTGCAAAAAGTGGTCCAAGGAAGGTCAAGCGATGAACCTGTGGTGAGGTCATGCTATCCTGTCTGGTCTGACCCCACAGGAGAGGTATTGTACCACAAATTGCTGAAAAATCAATACTGGCTTTGATAGAAAAGTGTCAGAACACTTTTGTGCATCACAGCTTGCTGTGTATGGGGCTGCGTAGCTGTAGATCAGTCAGAGTACTCCTGTCCACCACTGAAAGAGCCTACAATGGGCATGTGAGCATCAGAACTGGACTATGGAGCAATGGAAGAAGGTGGCCTGGTTTGATGAGTCACGTTTTCGGTTATGTCATGGGAACAGCCGGGTGCTCGTGTTTGAGGAAGAGATGGCACCAGGGTGCATGGTGGGAAGACAGCAAGCCGTCAGAGGCAGTATGATGCTCTGGGCAATGTTCTGCCTGGGAACTTTGGGTCCTGGCATTCATGTGGATGTTAGTTTGACATGTACCACCTTCCTAAACATTGTTGCAGACCAAGGACACCCCTTCATGGCAACAGTATTCTTCGATGGCAGTGGTCTCTTTCAACAGTGCTACGCTCCAAAAAGTGTTCAGGAATGGTTTGAGGTACATGAAAGAGTTCAGGGTGTTGAGTTGGCTTCCAAATTCCCCAGATCTCAGTCCGATCGGGCATCTGTGGGATGTGCTGAACAAACAATTTACAGGATTTAAAGGATCTACTGCTAACGTCTGGGTGCCAGATACCACAGGACACCTTCAGAGGTCTTGTGGAGTCCATGCCTCAATGAGCCAGAGCTGTTTTGGTGACACAAGGAGGGTGAACACAGTATTCGGCAGGCGGTTATAATGTTGTGGCTATTCCCTGTCGGCAGAGGGAGCATCTCTCAGCGAGAGGGACAGTCACGGGCCCAGAGTACATCGCCGGGTTGGAACGAGTCCATTTTGTTAACTCTTTGGTGTGAAGTCCTGTCTCTGTGGATCTCTTGTCATCCTTATCTCTGAGTTTAATTTCCCAGGTAAACGTGTGCAGACCACTAATTGTATGAAATGCAGCCCTGACTTTTTTCACACATTTGCTGTAGCAGTACAGTGATTCCCCCCCCCACCTATCGCGGAAGTTACGTTCCAGACCCATCAGCGATAAAAAATCTGCGATATAGAAAGACCATATAAATAAACATTTTTTAATAGTCTAAGTTTTTCAAATACCCCTCCCACATGCTTTAAACACATGTAAACTTATTAAAACACACTTTGTAAACACATATGATATGTGCATGAACTGTGATGCGTCGGGGAAAAATCCGCAATATAGTGGGGGCGCGATAACTGAACCGCGATATAGGGGGGGATCACTGTAGTTGTCAAATCTTCGTTCCATATATCCTTTGAGGTCCACCACTAGACAATCTGATTAAACTAAATAGACTGATCTTCAAAGGGTTGAATCGAGTCTGTTGGAGGTTAAGTATAATGAAAATATGGAATGGCTGGTGGCGTTGAGTGGATTGGGAACCACTGTGCTGCAGCAATATCCACGAAGAAATATTCAAATTACACTTGATGCTCAGCCTTTTGTTACTCAGTGAAAAGTTCCAGGTGTGTCACAAATAGATTTTGTTGGTGATTCATCCACAGTTGAAGAGTTAATCTCCTGAGGCTGTTAAATACAGAGGAAAGACATGTGTTTACATTTAGTTTGTTTGAACAGGGTCCATGAGCAGCTTTCTAAATGCCTTGCGAGGAATGGAGCATTTTGGGGCATTTTGCAAGGGGCTGCAAGATATTACAGAAAAGTGTTGTTTTTCAGCCATGAGTGAATGAAGTAGGATATTCTTGTGCACAAATAGCAACAGAGAACTTGCCTGATCAGGAAGGCCCATGGTCTGACTTACCTTAGCTCTAAAGCAGGGTAAGGAAATGGGCGCTATTTTGCATGCATTGTCTGGTGAAGGGTATGGAACATAAACGCTTCTCTGTGGCCTCTGTAAATACGTGTACCCTTATCCCGTTCGGCCTAATGTAGTGAAAAATTTTGAAACGGATATTTCATAATGCCCAGTATTATTGAAATTTAATGAACAAGACTTTGTTTTATACAAAGTGTTTTGAAGTTTTCTTTTTCCCTATTCAGAATCAGAATCAGAATCAGAATAAGCTTTATTGCCAGGTATGTTAACACATACGAGGAATTTGTTGTAGTGACAGAACTCTACAGTGCAACAGAAAGACAGTGACAACACAAGACACAGGTAATAAAAAGAGTTATATACAGATATACAAAGATATACAAAGTAGCATGCAAAATAGCAAGAAGACATTCCAGTATGATGTGTTTGTATAGGTATGTTGATATGTGCAAATATGAAAAATAAATAAGCGTGTGTGTTAAATAAATAATTTCTTTTAGTGTTGTG